CTCTCATTTCCAAACAATCCTGCTTTATGTCATGGACAGAAAGAAGGGAATTGGTTTATTCGAAACATGATGAAACTGCTTTTGCAATTAGGAAAAAAACACCAAAAAAACAACTAGCCCAACACAAGGCAGCATTTGAAACAGGATTTTATGAGTTTTCTTTAATGTCTGAAAGTCATATATGGCCACATTTAGAGTTTTATCCTCTCACAGACTGCTAAGAACTGTTTCCTGATGCATATTTCAGTTTCTCACTAGACACTTTTCAGAGGGAAAGAGGTGAAAGCCAACTCTGAACACAAAACAGACAGCCTAGTTTCTGCACTCAGCTTTAGAGAAGGACAAAATCTACACAGGGAGAATTGCCTATCAGAGTTCAACAATTCACTGGATTTTCATTTTCTATTAACACACAGAGCTTAATTGATTTTTAAAGCAGCTCATTTCAAAAGTATGGTCCTAGGCAGTGTCCCTAGTATGTTTTCATAATGTGACTGCAGGACTGGTAAAAGGGAGCTGAAGGCTATCAAGGCACTTATGTGTTCCCATTGTTTATAATCTTGGAAGCACTTAATGCAGACCCTGCTAGACCTGGACACCGTGGCACCTAGCAACTCACGAGCGCTTCAACCCTAATGTACGCTGGCAGGTATTTTATTCAGCTGAACAACATGCCACTTGAGGTCATGATTGGTTTGTAAATCCATGCTTAGGATCTCTTATGAGCTCTGTAAAATTATACCAGACCAAAATACTCTTTTTCGTGGAAAAACTACAGGCAAGGCTGATGTCTTATTTTACCCTCAATTATTTGCTATGTTTAATGCAAAATTATTAGTTGCCTAACACTAGACTTGGCTATCCTTTTACCTTTTCTTCTTTTTTTTTTACCTGAGAGATGCTTGATGTGGGGGAAAAATAAAAAAAGGAGAGAAGGAAGTGATATGTTGGCAAATATATCTGGAAATGATGGAATGAACCACTGGAAAAGAAGGAAGAGTGCTTTTCATGGAGAAATTTGTACTGCACACTTTTTTTTTGCCATCATAAAATGTAGTTGAATGCTCCTATTTGGTGTTTCACAAAGCAAAGCCAGAACAGCAGGTGTGTGAGCTGGTGACCAGATTCCCAGCTCCCATAAATGAGGCCAGTGTAGCTCCACTGCACATAGTAACCCTTAGGCCATTTATATCCCATTGTGGCACCAGCCTGAAGAACTCTCCCTTTCACACGCTCGATTTCAGRCAGAGGCAATAAAAAGAAATGCACTACATTAACGTTATGACAATTTTTTTCATATGCCCTACTTTTATCTCTTTGAAGCTTTTGTTTAGATGGATTATTGGTAAATGCAACTTATGTCTTCYATCTGAAACCCCTCCTGGGGCAGGMTGGAGAACAGAGGAGAAAGGGGCTCTKTGAGCCAGAGCAGCCAGGGCTGTGGTCACAGCAGCTGCCAGTGGCAATGGGCACATGGGAAGAAGGGGTGGTAAATAACTGAAAGCTCTTGMATAAGGAGATTGAAATGGAGATGTCTGAAAATGGAATAACAAGAAGGTAGGGGATTTTATTGCAAGACAGCTTGAAATTACACAGTACGGGGACAGSAAGGAGAAGGTGAGGTCTTAGAGCCAGGAGGTTACACTTTATGAAAGAGCAGTTGTGTGAAATGGTAACAGTGTCAGGGATTAGGGCTGGGGTCAGCAGTGGGTAATAAAAAGATCCTTTTCCAGTCCTATCAACCCCATATCTGTCAGGTGCCCTTTTCACTCAGCTAAGCRTTTGAGTTGACAACCTATGATAATGGTGATATCCACTGATCTCCATACTTTGGAGATTATTATGTTATGAAAATTGAAAAAAAGGTCAAGGGCATTTAATCACCTGAGCAAGAAGGCTTTCTTCATGCTCTTTCTCTTAGCAAAAAAAAAATAAATCTGAGTTTGTTCTGGTAGTTGCAAGATTTGAAGAGATCCCAGGAAAAAATATTTTCACTGGTTTGAAACCTGATGCAGTTCCCTGTTTCTTCCCACTGCAAGATGAAACTTTCAAATTTAGCAATCTAGTGGACAGTCCAAATGAGGCCTGAGGCTCCTCATCAGCAGCCAGTTACCTTGGCCTGAGTTTCAGCAATCCAGCTGATGGCTGGCAGTTGCTCCCTCATCTGCTCTTGTTCCCATAGAAACTGAGAGAAAATAGTCAAACTAAGGTAAAGCTTTTTTTTTTCCTCACTCCCGCCCCC